GTTCAGAAAATGCTTTTTCTTGTTTTTCACCCCATTTAAACCCAACATGATTTTTGACTATTTCATTAAGAGGTGCAGCCAAAGTACTAAAGTCTTTAACAAACCTCCTATAGAAACTAGCTAACCCATGAAAACTTCTCACTTCACTCACATTCTTAGGGGTAGGCCATTCATGGATGACTCTAATCTTTTCCTCATCAACTTGTACCCCTTTAGAACTCACAACAAATCCCAAAAACACAACATGATCAGTGCAAAAGGTACATTTTTCAAGATTAGCAAATAATTTTTCCTTTCTAAGCACACTCATGACAGCACACAAATGTTCAACATGCAAATCAAAATTAGTGTTATATATCAGAATATCATCAAAATACACCACTACACATTTGCCTAAAAACTATTTCAAGACATGGTTCATCAATCTCATAAAAGTGCTTGGAGCATTAGTTAACCCAAAGGGCATAACTAGCCACTCATACAACCCATATTTAGTTTTAAAAGTTGTTTTCCACTCATCTCCTTCTCTAATTATAATTTGATGATATCCACTTTTCAAGTCAATTTTAGAGAAGATACAAGCACCATACAATTCATCCAACAAGTCATCTAACCTAGGAATGGGATGTCTATACTTTACCGTGATGTTATTGATAGCTCTACAATCTATGCACATCCTCCAAGTTCCATCTTTCTTAGGGACTAGAATGACTGGGACTGCACATGGACTCAAGCTTTCTTTAACCCCACCCCTTTTGCATTAAGTCTTCAACTTGCTTTTGAATCTCCTTGGTTTCTTGGGGATTGCTTCGATAGGCTGGTCTATTAGGCAATGAAGCTCCTGGAATAAGGTCAATTTGATGCTCAATACCCCTAAGAGGGGGTAGACCTATAGGCACTTCTTTGGGAAAAACATCTTCAAAATCCTGCAACAAAGAAGAAACCTCTTTTGGAAGAGAGTTAGTAAAACATGGGCTGTTTGATTTACTTTCTTTACTCAAAAGTAAAAGTATTGGTTTTCTCAATTGCATATCTCTTTTGACTTCTTTTTCTTTTATAAATAGATTTGATTTTTTTCTCTCTTTTTCTTTTTCTTCCTCTTTTTCCTTTTTCTTTTCACTCTCTTTTTCTTTTCTCTTTTCTCTCTCTTTTTCTTTTCTTTCTTCTTTTCTTTTCTTTCTCATTTTTAGTTGATCCTCACTAACTTCTCTTGGAACCAAAGGTGCAAGAGTAGTTTTGCGGTCTTTATGCATAAAAGAGAACTTATTAGTGAAACCATCATGCATAACTCTCCTATCATACTGCCATGGTCTCCCAAGAAGTAAATGACAAGCCTCCATAGGCACCACATCACACAAAACAAAATCTTCATATTTCCCTATGGAAAAACCCATTTCAACTTGTCTATTCACGGTCATCTCACCATCTTCACTAAGCCATTGAAGTTTGTAAGGTCGCAGGTGTGGCTTAGTCTCCAAATTCATTTTTGAAACCAACCGTGCACTAGCCACATTAGTGCAACTCCCACCATCAATGATCAAAGAGCACAACTTCCCTTGAATGAGGCACCTTGCATGAAAAATATTTTCTCTTTGACAATCATCCAATTCAACTTATTGACTACCCAAGATTCTTCTAATCATGAACAAATCTCGTTCTAACTCTCTTTCATCTTCATGCTCATTTTCATCACTAGATGGATAATCTGAAGAAGATTCACTAATTATTTCTCCATCCTCCTTAAGTAACATAGTCTTCTTAGTGGGACATTGAGAAGCTATGTGACCTCTTCCCAAACATTTGAAGCACTTAACCTCACTACTCTTTGTTTTCTTAAGTGCCTCATCAGACTTATTTTGATTTTTATGAACTATAACATTGGAATTTCTTGTTGATGATCCTCCCTCCTTCTTATTTTTGTCCTTCCAACTAGGAGTGTGAAAATTAGATGAACTCCTCCTCATGGCACCCTTTCTCTTTAATTATTGTTCCACCTTAGAAGCTTGATGTACTAAATCCTCCAACTCAACATAATTTTGCAACTCCACAACATCCCTTATATCACTATTTAGCCCATGTAGGAATCGGGCCATAGTAGCCTCCCGTGCCTCCATAACATTAACCCTAATCATGGAAACCTCCATCTCTTTGTAATATTCATCAACACCTCTACTACCTTGTATGAGTCTTTGGAGCTTGTTATGAAGATCTCTTTGATAATGAGAAGGAACAAATCTTCTTCTCATCAACCTCTTCATTTTTTCCCAACTTTCCACCAAGGGTTCTTCATATCTCACCCTTTCCCTTTGTAATTGGTTCCACCAAATGAGAGCATAATCAGTGAATTCCATGGCTGCCACCCTCATCTTTTTATCTTTTGTGTAATTATGGCATGCAAATAGTTGCTCAATTTTTATTTCCCACTCCAAATATGCTTCTGGATCACTCTTTCCTTGAAAATAGGGTATGTTCAGCTTTACTCCTTCAATTCTGTTATCTCTAACATCACCTTCATTATTTCTTCTTCTCCTCCTTCTACCTCCACCATCATCATCATTTCCTTGATTTTCTAGTTGTTCAATTCTCCCATACAACTCCTTGGTATGTTCTGTCAACATTCTTTGCATTTGGGCTGTAATGGCCTCAATCAATAATCTATTGTCATCCCCGAGAGGAGGGGTACCACCACCACCACCTGCACCTGCCATCTTTCAAGTAAAAAAAAAGAAAGGACCAAACAAATGAAGTAATAGGACCTCACCACTCTTCTCACGTGTTTGCACTCAAAGATGTACCACTCATGTTTACTCTCAATTTGGCTTTTGTATAATATGCATTCTTGCCTTTTTCCACTCGTTCTCTGACTTATGGTTCTTACAAGAATCAAACAATTTATAGTTCAAGAATCACTTTCAACTGTAGCAATCACAAGGAATAAAAACATACTTGTAGTACCAACAAAGGACAAGTAGCAAAGAACAATTTTACTACTAACAACAAGCAAGACAAATCTAAACTGTATGGAAAAACAAAGATTAGACAAAGATGCTTAACACTTAGGAATTTTATCAAACAACTAATGTGCACTGAAATTTAAAGGAAGAACACCTGCCACACACAGACACACACACACACACACACAGACATATATATATATATATAATTTTTTTTCTTTTCTGATTCTTTTCTTCTTTTGATTCTTTTCTCCTGATTCTTTTCTTCTTTTGATTCTTTTTTTGATTCTTTTCTGAAGAAAACAAATTTCAAACACAACTTTGATATATATATATATATATATATATATATATATATATATATATAAATGAAATTCAATATCAAAATTGCATAAACAACAAGTTTTTTTTTTGAACAATACATGTGAACAAGTGACAAATGAACAATGACCGTGAACAAGTGACAATGAATAGTACCCGATGAACAGTGCCGATGAACCGCACCGCTTTTGAACCTTGCTCTGATACCAAATGACGACACTCGAATAGAAGGGAAACAATTTAGGGTTAGGTTTTAAGAGCAAATTTGATTGGAAATAGAAAACAGAAAAACATAAAGGATACCGTAGGCGCCACAAATAAGAATATTTGATAAGTCAAGAAGGATCGCCACAAGAATTGGATAATTCTTGATAAGATCAAATGATGCAAGGAAGAACCCTAGTAGAGCAACAACTCACAAAGTAATATGAATATTACGTACGTTCATTCTGAATTTTCAAATGTTTAATACAACTTAAGTTTATGAGTTTGTCTCATTGCAGGAAATAAAGATAAATTAAAATCCTAATATCCCAAGTAAAATTAAGTTGCTCAGATGGTTCAATGAAGACATTATAAGCTTTGGGTCTTGGATTCAAATCCCCATTATAGCAAATAAAATAATAATAATAAAAAAAAAACTAAATCTTTTAGTTGGGCCTCCTAGCTCTCCAAACATTCTATGCATGTGATAGGTCTAGACTCCTCCATGTTTGGATCTTTTAATAGTTGGGCCTTTAGCAAATTGGTCACTTTGTATTGCAATGCCTCTTGTGTTTTTCTAAGTCTGCCTCTTGTCATAGGTCCACCTAAGTCTTGGATTGGATCTTGGTCTTGATCCTTCTCGTTATGGGCTTGGGCCTTTATGTCCACATCAAAAGGAGTAAGCAAACAAAATTTGCTAGGAAAATATTGCATTAAGGCACTAAATTTTTGTGAACATTGTATTTTTGGAAAGACAAGGAGACTGAAGTTTTCTTTATTACTCATCATACAAAAGATAATTTCATAGTCACTTGCGAGGGTGATTAAGAGTTCCTTATAAAATGGGACAAAATACTTCCCATTTTTCATTTATGATTTCATAAGAAAATTATAGATTTAGTTAAAAATGAATCTTTTGCAAAATGTAAAGAATGGAGGGTTTTAGTTGATACTCAAACTAATAGAAAGAATAAGGGGCTTAAAACTGATCATGGACTAAAATTTTGTTAAAATGACATTTTTTATGTGTCTCTAACTGACATTTCTTGTGTATCTCAACCTTCTTCAATGTCTTTTCCATATTCAGTACACAATTAGAGAGTTTGACAATTTGTTTGTATTTCTTGGACAACGCACTTGCATGATTGTCCAACTTGTGGTGTAAAAAAGCCTTTTGAAACCTTTTTCATAATTCTCCTTCACAACACCTTCCATTGGTGACATATAGTCATAATCCAAGCAACCATCACCTTGGTTGAATCCAAGCAGCCATAAGGACCCATGTCTTTCAATAAGTCTTGATTAAAAGTGGGTGGGAAGTCCCCACCCATTTTCACATTATTAGTCATCATTTTTACGTGTCAAAGTGAGTTCATGCTGCGGGCATTGATTGACACATGATCTACTCTATCCATAGGACCATCTTTGTACAACAATAAAGAATTTGTCATCGAAGGTACAAGATAAGATTGAGACAGAGGGGTATTGGTCGGAGGAACCTCATGATTGATCTACACTTCTCTAGACTCCTTGAACACTATGATGATGGGCAAATGTTAAGGACAAGGTTGGCAATGGCAAAAGCCAATGAAGCCCTCTGCTATTAACTTTTTGTAGTGTGGCTTGAAGCTTTCTGACCACATCCAAAGAGGCAACACCTAACTTCACACGAATTTTCTTGTAGTCAAAAGAGCTACCCATTACTTCTATAAGAAATACACACACAAACATAAGATACAACACAAAATGTTCATGTGTAAAACTCGTGAATTAGCAACCCTTACCACTAAACTGAGCTACTTGATCCTCAACATAGGGGATGAATAATTTGTAATTGATAGGACAAGATATGTCCTTCAAAGTGGTTATGGTCAACTTGTCCTCAACAAACAATAAATGATTGACTCTTGATTTGAACTTCACTAGAGTGGTTAACCAAAAATAGAGCAAGTTGTTTGGATATTAGAATAGAGACTTGGACGAGTCACCAAGGTTACACTTAACTAAAAAAAATGAGTTTTGAAAATTTTAAAAGATTGGGTATACATGAAAAATAACTCACCATGTTAAGACCCATTTAAAGAAACTTTGTCCACTTCTGAGTCATACTTCAATTGATAGAAGCACATGAATACATTAATGGGTGCTATCAAATGTAGAAAGAAACACAATTTAGAATGCTTTAAAAAATGCTCAACTATTGGGATACAATTGACTTGGAGCTACTTAGAGGATAGACAACATCTCACATTCAAACTTAATAAAAGGTAAAAAAAAACTCTAATTTTTTTAAACAAATACTCATACAAAAATAAAAATCCTCTACATCAATTTGATATTCCTTATAAGGATAAAATCGTGACAAACTATAATTCCAAAGCAAACTATTGGAAATCTCATATCACCTATCTCATGTCATATGGTATGGTTTAAATACCTACTAAACTATTTCCCATATTACCAATTAGTTTTATGTTGGAATCTTAATATAGTATCAAAACTAAAACCTAACTTCTTTTTGGTTGTTGTCTTGGGCCAAAATTTTCCCTTTCATTGTGGGTCCAAAGTACCATTTGCTTGATCCAACAGACTTCGTTGGAGGGGGTGTATTGGAAGTCCCACATTGTCTGCCTCATTATGTGGTATGGTTTAAATACCTATTAGGTTACTCCCCGTATTATTAATTGATTTTATGTTAAAACCTTAATACAGATAGTACCTCAAATGTGGTAATTGACCCTAATGATGATATCATAACGGACATGAGGTCAGGACATCTCGTTCCTAGATAAAACATTAACATATGTAACACCCCTTTCGAGATGCCACGTGTAAATTTTTTTTTATAATTATTTTATCTCAAATAAAACTTGTTAAAAGATTCATCTGAAACATCTTTATTTATCAAAATAAAACATTATTCACTCAAACAACTAACTTAAACTATCAAAATAAGACTTAATATCAAGTCTTTCCAGCGCAAACTCAAAATCACTACACTTACATTACATTCAAAAGGACATTTTCAAATGTCTTAAAAACTCCCAAAAAAAGCTTCCCCGCGAGCTCCTCACCGCTAAGCTTCTCTAACAGTATCTGCATCAACATCTACTCCCATATAATACAAGTCATACGATCTTCGTAGGTGGAAACCAACACCACAAACATACAAGGGTGAGAAAAATATGTATCCCATTACATATCATGCATGTCAACATATAATTCACCTAGCATTATCTTACTGTAACAAAACTCATTCATAATATCCACAAGTACATGTTTTCAACACTACAACAATAACACTTTATCATATTACCCCCAAGTAAAAACAGACGGTATAAAATTCTCTCATAGTCAACCCCCATACTTTTTCTGCGCACCAATAACTCTTGGAAAAAGTTTATTCCCCTGCTTTCCATAGACTTACTAGCAACAACTCCACCCGCTCGACAAAGCCTTGGATGGAGCACTCTTGCTAGGCTCATGCTAAAGACTTACGGAGGAACGAAACCCTTTTACCATGACTCGACAAAGTCCTCTAGGTAAAGAAATCATTATGGCTTTACAGCTATCAAAGAACTCATATTGTTCACTCACCTATATGCACACATATGCATACAACATCTCATCACAGATCAAACATACCTAAATTCATCATGTAATTACATCATATCATAATTTAAGTACTTTTTTTTACATTTAAGGATTTTAACATATAACTCCCACAAATTCTGCACCAAAATAATATAGACAACAACAACAATAAAATAAAACAACAGCAGCAATAACAACATGAAATGAAAATAGGAATAACATTGTTTAGAAGATTCTACTACCAGGGCAGTACTCAAAGATATATTTTTATAAAATAAAATAATGGTAATAAAATTATGAAATTAAATATACTTAACATATACATACAGTCACAACTACGATAAAAAGTTCATCCCAAAATACTTCAATCTCGATTTTATATGATTTTTCGAAGTTGTTGGGCGGACATTGCAACTCTGTTTCACCCAACTCAAAACCTAATCACTTCCAAGATTTTTCATGAAAAAACTACTTGTTAGAAAATTTTGAAATAAATCACACACGAACTTAACATATGAAAGAACATATAACAAAAATTTAAGAATTAAAAACCAAGTAGATATTTTTATATAATATCCCAAAGATTCTATTTACATGCAGATTTTTTCAGTAACACCTCTCAACACATTTTTCATCATCTTCTTCTAGAAAAATCCAATTTAAGTGATTTCTATGGATAACTCTAGGTTTTGGCATCCACCAGATCCATTTCTAAACTCTAAAATGTGAAAAGAGCACTGTAGAGTATCCAAAATACACTAGAACAACCATACAAAATTTTCATCAAATATTCTTGTTTGGTTCCAATTCATGTACGAATGAGATAAATGGTGGTTTAGCCTAGGATTGATGGCAAGAAGACTCTCCTTACAAATTCATGTTGACAACTCAAGAAATCAACCAGTTAAAAAAAATAATAATAAGAAACAAGTTTTGGTATCCCTTACCTGGATATTCCTATAGCAATATCACTTGGCTTGCTCTACTCTCTTTGGCTCTCAATCAACGTTGCCTCTCACTAACTCTGCACTACTCCCCCTCCCCTTTTTTTTCTCCTTCCAGCATTTTTTTTTCAACTCTCTCACAAACCCTACTTTTTAAATTAGTTCTCACCACCCTTTACTTTCCTTTACCAGACTATATAAATAAAAAATTTAAATTAAAAGTTATCTATATTTTTTTTCCCTATTTCAAGCCCTTCCTCTCCCAGTTTCCAACCCACTTACTCTCTTAATTAATTTGGTGCCAGCCTGTGTACAAATTCAATGTATATGTCTCAATTGTTCACCTCCTAAGGTACACCACACGAATTTACAAGAAAAAAAAATGTACCTTATTTCCTCATTTTTACTCTAGTCAATATTTGAACTCACAACCCCCAAGACTCAAGCATTAGTCCAAACCATAACAGTCATGATATGTTTCTTATCAATGCACACACGTAGCAAAATTACAATGAACCCCCACACACAATGCATACAAGAAAACAACCATCAACCAATAATTTCTAAACATGACAATTAAATTTTTTAAGTCCCTAAACATACTCAACGTTCAGACACACACATGAGTATTTTCTAAACAATTATAAAATAATATAAAAATTATAGTTGTTCTAATGCACATACAAGAATCGAACCCATGACCCCCACATCATACGGAGGCACATCACGGAGAAGCACATCACGCAGCCGCTTCCTCCAAATGTCATTTTTGTCTTCTGCATTTTGTATTCAAGTTTGTTTACTCTTCTGTCATTATTTTAAATTCTTGTTTTCGATTTTAATTATGCCTATTCTTCTGTGTTTTCGATTTTCCATGGATAGCTAAATCTTTATATTGATTTTCTGAGGAGAATGTAGTAGATCTTTGAGGTTTTGTTCTTCTATTTCGTTTGTTCTCTTAACTCTTCATCTCCTAATTAAAGTTCATCTTAACCCTAAACCATAAACCCTAAACCCTAAACCCTAAACCAATATCACAGTGTGCTTAATCCTGTGTTAGAGATGAGATTCTAGGTTGGGGGGAGTTGTTAAGTGGTAAAAAGTTGATATAATTATGCCTAAAATTGTTATGAAACCACTTAACTTATGTTAATTCTAATCTATTTTTCTCCCAATATAGGATGAATTCGAGAATACCTTGATACAAGAGTAAGGAGCATAATTGTCAGTATAATTGGAGTAAAATTGAAAGAAAGAAGAACGCTTAAGCGAATGAATGATGTAAGGCCCGACCCAAATTCTCTTATAAAAAGATAAGTTGTGTTTTGAGAAAAGTCTTGGAGAGGAGGAGGCACGACTACTGTTAGGGTTTTGTCCAATCTTTATCAATTCTTCACTTCTTCATCAATTGGAGCATTGTAATGACCAACATGAGTGACTAACTTCATTCTCTTAGGATTCAGTGCACTTCCTTTGAACTCTTTTGTATCATGGTGATATTTTGAGATATTAATCTATGCTTTGATGTTGTTATTCTTATCATTTATGCTTTGAAATGATTTATTCTTGATGTTTGGGGTATGATTGGAAAATATATCTTGAACCTTAGATCACGGTAAGAATATTTGTTACATTAATTTCCAAGAATGGAATGAATGTATCAATTGCTTAACACCCTAACCCTAATGCTGGAAAATTTGTTAATTGTGTGAGGAATCAACATTTATTAGGTTTTCTTATGAATTTCATGTGTGAGGAATCAACATGGATGATTTGAGTAGGTGGCATCAACATTGTTAGGTTAATTGACGTTCTTAATTGATTTAGCCATTACAAAAGATGAATAAGGAAGGAAGTCAATCCTAAGTACCTTTAATTGATATTTTCTCAACAATTTATAGTTCTTTGTCATTTAATTTCAATTCAACTCTTATTATAAAACCAATCTGTTTTAATCTACTTAGTAAGCATAATTAGGAATTTCCATTGAAATTGTTCCTCGTGGGATCAACTTTTATTTAATCGAAATACTATACTGCGATTGGTAATTTTGGTACGCTTGCCAATAATTCAACAGATGTATGCAATGCTTAATTGTACAAGGATAATTTGGGTTAATTTTCGCATAGTTGGTTAATTTCGGGTTATAATAAGGGTTAAAGCAATTTAATTTCGTAACCCAGGATAAGTGGCACTACATTCGAATCAGGAAATTATTTGTTTTCTCATTATTTTATTTAAATCCTATTTTCGTTAATTTATTATTTATTATTACGCAAACCCCTTTTCTTTTCAATTTTAATTACTGCACTATTTTATTTTAAAACAATTCTTAATTCTTGAAATTTTAATTAAAAACACTTTATTTTTATTTTATAAATTTCAGTTATTTAAATTATGCATCAATTTAATTCTTTTTCACTTTTTCATTCATACTTTATTTACTTGTTTTAGAGATAATGATATATGGTAATGAGTATGTTCCTATAATTGTGTCCTTGTGAGATTCAACACGGGTTAGTTATACTGCATTAGTTTAGCAACTTGTTTATTATTTTTTATTATTATTTTGTGCGACCGAAATGCTATTATCAATTGGTGTCGTTGCCGAGGATACAATTGTGTTGTGTAATATTGTCTAATATCATTTTTTTATTTTCTTTTTCTAGCTTTATTTTAAAAAATTCAAAAAAATTCATAAAAAAAGTTATTATAATTTGTTTTTGTGTGCTCCCTTGTAGGATGTGCTCGATAACCCCTATTATAGGAAATTCGGATATAACTTGGTAGTGTGAGGGTACATGTCTAGGAGGGTTCTGACTAGGAAAGACTTGGTACTTAAGTGTGTCCATTAGTGACCTACCTCTCTTTCCTGGGAACCTACCTAGTGTACTTGTTACGGTCTACTATTTGTATTCTGGTAGGACCTTTAATAGTGCATGACAGGAGCAATCCTGGCCATTTACAACCTTTTGATCCCGAAATAGATAGCACCTTTCATAGATTAGTTAGGCATTCTAGGAATTCATCTCTTGAGTCTGTACCATTAGATAGTCTTAGTGATAATCCTGCATCCAATACACCTTCTTCAGATAATTTCCAAACTGATAACATTGGTGATCAACCTATTGGATATCGTGAGAGAATGCTTAGGGAGATGGTTGCACCTAATATTACATATGCGAATTTGTGCATTCAATATCCCGAAGAGGATGATCCTTTTGCG